TAACTGATTCTCTCTTTTAGACACAATTTCGGAAAAATTGAATTTGAAAATGAATAATGATCCACAAGAATCCAAAACAAAATATGGGACCACCGTTGACGAGGTATTTTCCAAATATTTACAGGATATCAAGTCTCAAACTTATGTTTCTTATTTCAGTTATCATAAACCTATAGTTTCAATGATAAAAATTCCTGAGTAACCTACATGTATTGTAAAATAATAAAAATATTTTAAACAATATTAACTTCTCATTTATTCAATAAAAGAAAAAAAGTTGTTTTCTTATCGGTCACCACGCTCAAAAAGTGTAACTTGAATTAATATCAAAGAAAAAACTTGAATTAATATCAAAGAAAAACAAATACTGCATAAATAAAATAAATAAATAATTATAATTGCATAAGTTGATAAAAAATGCTATGCAATAGCTTTACCGCGGCAGTCCCCGAGTGCCAAAGTATTTTTTTTATCTCTGTAGGTATTTGAACCTTTTTTTTTTCGTTTATAATATTACTTAAATATCACAAGCTGCGTTTATATCCTACTTATTATTGTATGAATAAATATTATTATTATTATATTATTATTTCATATATACTAGTATCATTTTCTAAGATATAATTTCTTTTATTTTGCTAAGCATTAAAAGATCCTCGGATATATTAATTACACATGTACTATAATATTCAGTAGGCTGACATATGTAAAATAGTACAGATTGAGAAGGTGCTCCAACCAGTTCTTCAGAACAAGAAAGATTGGAAGAAAGAAAATGTTGATTAAACTTGTTGAGAGGTATGATGTAAACTGTGAAATGAATTTCTTTATTATTGTATTTATGATATTATTCCACCTTCTCTTAATTCTTCTACAATTGCAACAATTTCATTATTATGACCTGTATTTCCTGCTGATTGAGAAGCAATTAGTAACCGTAACCTATCAATTAATTCATTATAATTTTCAAAATATTTATAATCAATTTTCTTGGTGTTAAAATTCATTAAAACTCCACCACCACTTTTCTTAACATTTTGACTACGCAATGTACGTCAGGTAGATTTTTAGGATCTAAAAGTTTGAACATTTTTGGTGATTTAGTTTGTAAACGAGGAAGAGAACTTTGTGGGAGTGAATTATTCTACTTCATTATTCAGTCATGCTCTAATCCTACAAGTCCCGCTCTGTCTTATTTGGCCTTTCAGGCTCAACTTGTCCGATTATCATACATAATTAAACCCCTTAAGATCAAACAACGTGATAATGTTTCTAGTATATTCCAGATATGAGATGTTTCTATTTTGGCGGAGGAGCTTTCTGGAATCCACCAAAACTTTAAATTTGTATATAAATATTGGTGGAGGAACAACGTAGCGGTCATTAGTTATAGATAGACAGTGAAGAAAAATAATGAATAGTTTAAAGACTTTCAAAATATATCTAATTTGGTCCGTATTCGAGAAATTTTACAAAATATAATAAATTCTGGTGTGTGTGTGTGTGTTGTGTGCGTGTGTGTGTGTCTGTCCTGTCTGTATCCACCATAACTCATGAACCGATACAAAGAAAAACACCAAATTTTAAACTTAAGCTTTATTCCGGCGTCCAATGAACTGATTAGATTTTGGGCAGAGTCGGAACATCTGGGGGGTACTTTATAGGTGGTCATTTTTATATTTTATGGAATATATGTTATTTACGTTTGGAGAAGAAAATGCTTCAAATAAAAGTTACAATATTTTTATCAATATTTTTTGTAAAAAAATGTAAAAAAAATATTTTTTTATAAAAATTGTTCAAATAAAAGTTGTTTGTAATATAATTCTCTTTAATTTTTATCCTATACATAATTTCTCTAAAATGGCCCGTATTCGAGATATTTGAGAAAATGTGTAATTTCGAATTTTGAAGAAAACTCAAAAACGGACAAGAGAAAAAACATTAAATTTTAAACTTAAGCATTATTTCGGCCTGACGTGAAATGATTAGATTTTGGACAAAGTCGAAACATTTGGGGGGGGGGGTACTTTATGGGAGGTCGTTTTTATATTTTATGGAATATCTATGTTATTTATGTTTGGAGAAGAAAATTGTTTTAATAAAAGTTACTTATAATTTTATCTATAATTTTTGTTTTATGTCAAATTTTCCTGAAATGGTCCGTATTCGAAGAAATTTGATACAATTTGCAAAATTCTGATTTTTAAGAAAATTGTTAAACTAAAAGTTGTTTGCGATATCGATCTCTATAATTTTTGTTTTTACATGATTTTTATAAAATGAACTGTAAAGGAAAAATTGGAGGAAAAGTGTTAAATTTTTCAGTATTTTCGTTTTCAATGAATATCTATAGAAAAATGTTTTGAGGTAGAAGTATGTGGAAAATGTATATATTTAGTTTATCCTCTAAACATTTATAGAGGTGCTGGAATAGGTTATACAAAATAACTAGATAGGAAAGTCATGTGTTGGAATATCTAAGGTTGGAACACATCAGATTTTTTTTATATTCCCATGTAAAATTTTTTTTGTAAACTTATACAGAGTGGCCACTTTTTTAATGGGATTGTATTAGTAATTTCCAAACCATACTAGTTAGAAAGTCGGTTAAATGGAGAAAAAGTTGCGTATCTCGAAGCATAATCTAGCAGTGGAAATTAATCTAAAATGCCAGGGCCGGTTCTTGAGATATTTCGATAAAAGTAAATTCAATCTTTTCGGTTTTTTGGTTATCGCTCATTTATTTTCAGAACTATTAAAAAATATTTTAAATCTTTTTTTATTTGATAGTAAATTTTCTTTGATTTGACGTTCTCATATTTTGTATCCAACGTTTCGTATTCTCCGGACCACCCTCAACTTATTTTTTTAAATATGGACCTGGATATTTTATAACAGTATTTGCAATAACTTTTCATCCTGCATCCAGCAGTGTATTACACAATGGCATTCAATGACGGTTTTTAGGTAATATTTTATTAAATTTACGCTTGGTTTCAGCCATCTTTAGTTGAATTAACATAATTTCATGCCTCTCGATAAAAAACTAAAGCCAATGTATGTAATTCTCCGAAAATTAAACAATTCATCAACAACAATAATAGTAATGTAGAAATGTTAAAACGCAATTACTGATAATAACAAAAAAAGTCAGTTTTTGTAAGTCATATTCAAATTATTTTAAAATATCAATAAAATTAATTGAGTAATTGTTCAAAATGTCCGCCATTTTCTTCAATGCACTTGGCGATTCTGATATTCAAATTTCTTATGCTATTGCTTATTTCTTCTTCTTGGATATCTTCCAATGCGTCTTTAATCTTTTCGCGGAGAATCTCAAATGTTGCATTCGGTGTATTATACACTTTATTTTTGAGACGTTCCCACAAATAGAAATCTAATGGATTCAGATCTGGAGATCTGGCAGGCCACGCCATTAGACCTCTTGTTCCGAACAATGAATTGGGAAAATGATTTTCCGTGGCATAAAAATGTTTATTTCTTCGATTGAACATACCAGAATTTGTAAATGTTGTTTTGTCTCCCCAAATGATATTGTGTGCAAAGTTGTTATTAATTCTTACCTTCTGTTTTAATCAATTACAAAATCTAAATCTTCTTTCAGGATCATTACGATATAGTTTTTGTACCGCTTGGTATTTGTAATCATGGTATCTGTGTCTCTTGACTATCTTATTAACAGCACTTTTTAATAAATTACATTCACCTGCAATAGTCCTCGGCCCAACTCCTGGATTTATTCGAAATTAATTAATATCGTTGACTGGCTCCTTTCTCGTTTTTTTTTCTGCAGTGTATCTTACCATATTGAAGTAAGACTAGGTGCCAAGAAACACACAAAAAACTTTTAAACAATGGGAAATTTTCGTAACGCAATAAAGAACAATATAATATTAATGTGACAGTTTTAGTAATATGGATTGTTTTCACGGCCTACTATATTTTATAACAAGTAAGATGATACTAGTTTAAAATCATATCAATTGGTTGCCAGTAATAAAATAATCAATGTTGATAATTAGACGGAAAAATAATTGAAATAAATAGTTACATCTCGAAGTTTATTCAAAGTAATAACAAAAAAAACCACTGATATTTTGCCTTCAAATTTGGTAAATATGAATTGAATAATTATTGACTATCATTTATTTTTTCCTAATTAATCATTTTATGTTCGAAGTATTATACACTTTGAAAAAATTAACACTATTTATAAATTAAATACAGATCCGTACCAATAAAATTTGGATTACGGTCCAGATTACCCAAAAACCGTCATTGAATGCCATTGTGTAATACACTGCTGGATGCAGGATGAAAAGTTATTTCAAATAATGTTATAAAATATCCAGGTCCATATTAAAAAAAAAAATGTTGAGGGTGGTCCGGAGAATACGAAACATTGGATACAAAATATGAAAATGTCAAATCAAAGAAAATTTACTATTAAATAAAAAAGATTTAAAATATTTTTTAGTAGTTCTGAAAATAAATGAACGATAACCAAAAAACGGAAAAGATCGAATTTACTTCTATCGAAATATCTCAAGAACCGGGCCTGATATTTTCGATTAATTTCCACTGCTAGATTATGCTTCGAGATACGCAACTTTTTATCCATTTAACCGACTTTCTAACTAGTATGGTTTAGAAATTACTAATGCAATCCCATTAAAAAAGTGGCCATCCTGTATATATTCTTTTCCTCTAATAAAGACTACGAGTAATTATTATTATTATTATTATTATGTGTAATTTTCGATGGAGTCTCTCCAAAAAATCCGTAATGTGCATGCGTTGTATTGCCGCTAAACATCGCAGAGCTGCGTCATTTTTTATTAGGTGGGGAGTTCAGTGGGGCAGACAAACAAGAGAGAAAACTATTGTCAAAACGAATATCTTTACAGAACTAAGGAGGTACTTCTTAACTTTGGTAGTAAGAAAAGCGGTAAACCAGTCTTAATAAAGATGATAAATTTGAAAAACAAATTTTTTATTATCTTAAAAATGCTAAATTACAATAAAAACATTCAAACATAGTACAAGATCCGAAGTAAGGTCGACCTTCACCCATTTGTTTAAAGGATAAAAGTTTTTTTTTAAATAAAATATATTCATAAATATACCGCAAATGGGTTGCCTAAACAAATACTGCCACGGCTATTTTTTACTTTCCTTTCTGTATACAGATAAGGATAGTATAGGAATTATGATAAAAGTTGCTTGTGATGTCATTCTCTATAATTTTGGCCCAATACATGATTTCCCTAAAATTGACCGCATTCGAGATATTTGAGGAAAAGTGCAAATTTTAAATATTACTCAAAAACCGATAAAGAGAAAAACACTAAATGTTAAACTTTAATTCATCCTGCGGTGAGCTGATTAAATTTTGGGCATAGTCGAAGCATCTGGGGAATACTTTATAGGGTAACTTTTTTTTACTTTAAGGAAATAAAATAGTAGTGACAGTATTTGCGGTATATTTATAAACATTTTATTTAATAAAAAAATAACTCTCATCTGTTAAACAGATGGGCGAAAATCGACCTTACTTTGGATCTTAGATTAATAATAAAGTTCAGAAGCTATTAATTTTTACTACAATCAAGAACGTGTATCATACAGAGGCGATTCAAACGATTTTAGCCAAAAATTATTTACTTCGAGATTAGTGTTATGAATATTTATAGAATTGACACTATTTTTCTGCAATAGCTGTACTCAAACTTACTTCTAACGTGGAAGAAATTTTTTTATGAATAGCCACTGCAGTAGTTAAATCCTTAATCGATTCCTTCAATTGACTGAGCTCTTTTAACATGCCTGATTTATCAGGTTTATTCAACAAATAATTATTTCTAATTGAAGCAATAAAATCATCAGTCAGTTTAAAATTCTGAGTTATATCTTCCTCCTTCGCTTTTTTAACTTCTTTGATTGGATTTTTTTCGAGCTCTTTTGCAAGGAATTTTTTTATAATTGGATTATATATGTAAAACCAATCCGAAAATCGATATTTGTTAAGTATGTTTAAGTCATAAACTACAAAGTATTCCTTAAAAATAGTTTGAGAATTAAATATGCCAGATAGATTAAGGTTTTCATTAGATAATTTTTCTAATCCAAACAGTTCAACAATGTCAGTCCATAAAATATACTGAATATTTTTAAAATTAATAGAAGGGTCTATATTTCGTAAAAATATGCTCATGGCTTTATAAAAAAGTTTTTCAGGTTCTTTAGTTATTTTTGAACAATATTTAAACACACTTATTTCTAATTCATTTTGATTAATAGGTGGCCAAACATCATTCCAATAAGGTAAATTAAATGTTTTTAAAATATCCTCCAATTTATTTAAATAGCTCTTAGAGTTCCAGAAGTTTGGGAAGTAACTATAAGAACAAGGGAGAAAATCAGGAGTTTCACTATTCAAATATTTTTTAAACTCTTCAGGAAATACCGCATATTCCTTATTAGATCCATTTAAGATTATCGAATTAAGTTTATTCAAACCTTCATTATATAAACTTAAAACTATGTTCGGATTTTGAAGACATTTTTTATAGTCTGAATTCCATTTTGCAAAACTGTTGGCTCGTTTCCAAATTTCTGAACATAGATATTTTGTCATAAACGATTTCAAAGTGTCCAATTCTAAGTAAGGACCTCTTTCAATATGTTTTGCTAAAAATACTAAACCTTGTTCCACTAAGCTTAATAATTTAACTCCAGAAACATTTTCGATGAGTATAATATAATTGGAAACTATATTTTCTTTGATTAACTCTTGCAATTTGCAATCTTTTTGGTTATATTCCTGAAGAATTATAACAATTGGTATTTTCGTGTAAACGCCAAAACCTTTAAGGTTTTCAAAAATTCTTCTTTGAAGATTGGCATTGAAATTTTTAGCTATGAAAATAATGCCATTTGAATCAAAGTGTTTTACATTATAACCCTGTTGTTTTTCTACACAATAGATAACAGATTCTAATGCATTAGGTTTAATGTGTTCTAAATACAACATTTGTTCATTAATTTTTTTCCATGGAAAAGCACTGTCCATTGTTTCCTGTATTCTATTTAAACCATTTACTAACTCACTTTTATCTGGTAGGCTAATAAGTACTTTCCAAAAAATATTTTTTGGTTTATTAACTAATAATTCGAATGTCCTGTTTTTTAATGTGGAGTATGTTAATTGGTAAATATTGACAATTTCAATTTGTTCATCCAGTAACTGTCCAATATCTAGAGATTTGCCATATTTATATCTTTTCATTAAATTTAAGGTTAATTTTTGGGAAGAAGTGTGTAATTCTTTCGCTGATTGCTCTAGAGTTTTTTTATTAATCCAGATAGGACTACAATCTATAGCTTTTCTCTTCCTTTTATTCTTTGAGACATTAAATCTCCATTTTGCTATAATTTTTATTAGTTTTCTTCTTTGTATTTTTTCATTAATTTCGTACAATTTTTCTTCTCGAATTTTATTTTCTACTTGGTCTACCAAAGAATTTAAAACATTTTTTACGGTATTATTAATTTTTTTTACTTTTAGTTGTTCCTCTTCGTTCCGCATTTCTTCTAACCTTTTTTGTAATAGTACTTCTTGTCTTTTTTTCTTGAATTCCTTCTGCCTCCTTTCTTCTTCTAATTTTGCTGCTAGTATTTTATTTTGCTCCTCCTGTGTTTTTAATTCCACCTTCTTCTGTTCTATCAATTTTAGTTTCTCTTCTTCAACTCTTTTCTGTATTTCTGCATGTCTCATTTTCTTTTCTAAATCTTTTTCTATTTGTGGTAATTTTGACACAATAGACGTTATAGGAAATTTAGGTGATTCAGTATTGTTAGTAGTAACAATAGGTTGAATTAGGTCAAATGCAAAGCCTCCCTTTTTATCTTCAATTGGCTTAGGAATAGCAGGAAATATATCTTTATTTTTAGAAACAAAATCAGGCTGATCTCCGGAGGTACTATGAGATTGAGCTGGTGATTGAAATGTAAACTTAGGAGAAGAAAAAATACTTCTTGTTTCAAATGGAGCAATTTCTTTTGTAGCAAAAATACTACCAGATTGCTTAGTGGTTAAAGCAAAAGGATTAGTAATTTGTTCTTTTTCAGTAAAAACAATTTGATTGACTTTCTCTTTTTGACCAAATGTAAATGATGTATTTTTTAACTCTTTTATTCCAGTGTCAATTGTTTCTACTTTAGATTTGTTAAGTTCTTCAAGTAATTTAAGTTTAACTTTTTCTAAATCTAATTCATCTACAATATCTTTGTTGATTAAATAGCCTTTGTTATCAAAGCTGTTGTGCACTTTATGAATTAAGTAAGATTTTGGTGGTAAATCTGCTCCACATATTAATCTTCCAATAGAAAATGTTCTTTTATCTTCTACAATCGTGGACCTATCTAGAATATATGGAAATTCTGGTGAAAAAAAATTGTTCTTATCCAAAATTACTCGAGTGCATTCTTCATTTATGTTTAGTCCATAATACTGTAAAAAATCTGATGTCAACTCTATATCATCAAAGGCTAAAATAGATTGAAGTTCAACCAATGGATAAGCTGTCTTGGACGCTCTTGGTATGTAACATTTTAAGAGAGTTTTTAGAGCCATGATACGAACTTGAACAAAATATCTCATTAAAATACATGCATTTAAGTATGTTGTTAAGTGAACTAATTTAAAAAACTGCACATAATTATTTTTATCTATAGCAGAATGTACTTGAAGAGCAAATCTCACTTCTCTAGATTTCTGAATTTCTGGGCGTAACTGCTGAACCTAAAAAAAATAATTGTCATTCTGTTCTTCTGTTAGGTATATTCATTTCTTACCTCCCACATAAAGTTCCCATCATTTAAATTAAGTAATATTATATAAGCTCTAAATTCTGCCTCATTTTCACAACTTTCCCCTTTGAGCAACAAATCGTGGTACATGTATTTCAAAGTTTGTAGACACTTTGTTAAATTTTCAGTGTTAATTTTTTGATCAAAAACTGATGGATCCTCTGCTACAAGCCTTGCAGAACAATGAATATGAAATCTTGCACATTGTTCAACTAACTCAACAGCTCCTTGGCTGCATAATTCTTGTTGTGTGATATCTTTTCGTATACCTCTGGTACGATCCCAAAGAAAGTAATACCATTCCCCAATATGTACCTGAAAACAAACAAAAATTAACAAATTAGTTATTTTATTTAGGTACTCATTTACCTCATCTGTATCACAGAGATCAATGATATTATGTAGTAGGTAACCCATAGTCATTTGAAGTACAGTTACAGGTCTCAATTCGTGAGCTAAAGGAGCTTCTTGGTCTGCAGAACTTCTAGAATACTGTTTCACTGCTCTGTTATGATTCATATTCTTATCATTATCTTGCTCATACCAAGCCACCTATCAAAAATACATTCACTATTAAAAGAAACTATTAAATAAAATAATTTGAAATTACTTGATGTTTAATTTCACGAAACAATCTTTCCTTCTCTGGGCACATATCTGGACAAATTCCAACTGTTGATCCAGACTTAACAGTCAGATTTTTTTTTAATTTTAACTTTATTAATTTATCTCTAGCATCAAGTATTCTATATTTATCGTCAATTGTTATTGCTTGAGACAGGACTAGATTGATGAGATCAAGTTCTTCTCCAGATATCCGATTATTAGGAATACTTTTAAGATGTTTGACAACTTGTTTTGATTTAGTTGGCATATCGCTTTTCCAAGATCTCTTAAGTTTTGGCGTTTTTTCAAATTTTAAATCTCGTATGTGACTGCCATTACCTTGAAAATATCAAATGTATTACAAGTACTTAATTAAAAATTAGTTAAAACGGACCTTCCAAGTGTTTATACTCTTTCGGTGCTTGTCCTGACATTGCTTCTAATTCAGCTTCTATTTCATCTTTGTCCACCCATACTGTTTCCTTCCTCTTGTCCAACTTTTTTTCAGTCTTCATTTTTTCTATGGAAGTGGTGACGGTAAAAGTAGTACCTTTGTATTTCCCAGCATTGCTTAGAGCCTCTAAATATCCTTCTTCATTTGCGTATTCAACTGTACATATTCTTAACTTCGGTTTAAAAGTAACTCTTTTAAGTTTTCCGAATTGCTTGAAATACACTTTAGCCAAGTTTTTGTCCAAAATAAATTCTGAAGGATAATCTGTACATCTGAAAATAAAAATACACTTAATATGTAAGTTATAAAAAGCTATTATAAGTATTACATTATTTTGTACGACTCTAGGTTCATTTTCTTGTGGCATTAAAAATATCAAAATATTCAAAACTGTGGTTATGCTGTGGTTAGTTGTTAGTTTCACAGAACACTTGTTAGAATCAGTGTTGCCAGATGAAAAACAAAAAATATGGTATCCGACACTTAAGGCCAAGTTCAATGACAAGTGACGGCGACTTTTTTATCACAAGAAATACAGCTCTGAACGATAATATTTTTAAAAACTGTTTTCATAAATGGGTTAAAAAAACTGTAAAAAATGATGGAAAGTCTATGGTTTGTTTTACTTTTAATGCAAAATATTTTAATAAGTGATATTTAACAAATATTTAAAAGTTATGGACTTTCCATCATTTTTTATAGTATTTAAAAGTTAAAACGCAACATACATTCTTTTATTTTTGCCTAATTATTTCAGGATTCTTGTTATAAGATTTAAAAATGTAGGGCCCATAAGATGCTGCCATCTGAACAGACGGAATAGACACTAAAAATTGAAAAATTGCAACATCGCTCCCTATGCAGACGAATGTAAAATGGCTTAGCATGGAGGAAGGATTATTAAGAGTTGCCGTTTCTTTGTAGAAATTTGGCAACATGTTTGCTTGCAACGACCTGTGGGGTGGAGGAGTAGAACTAATCTTACTCTGTCGGTAATGTAGTTACCAGCAGTATTACCATCAACTCTTACTCTGTCGGTAATGCAGTTACCCGTAATTTTATATTTAATTTGAAAATTGGCGGTTTTTTTTTAAAGGAGAATTTACTTTTGCAATTATTTTCTAACTAATACGAAATATAGCCATACAAAATTTTGATAGTAATTTTTTTAATTTTTTAGTGAAATAAAAAACATGTACGTGTAGCTAAAATATGTTCCTCTGGAGCCACTTTTTCAACATTTAATCAAATTTTGATGGCAATAAATCGCAAAATTTTGTTTTTATAAAGATTTCAAAAATTGAGAAAATAATTAAATCAAATTTCGGAATAGTGGCTCCAGAAAAACAGACATTTCACTTTTACCTGAAGGTATATATTTTTCATTCACTAAAAAGTAAAATTAAACTATAGAAATATTTGTGGCTCTATTTCGTATTGTTTAGAAAAAGATAATTGCTTAAGTAAATTTTCCTCTTAATTATAATTAAAATTTTCCATTTTTATTAGCTGTTTGTAACAATTATGAAATGCCCAATAAAAATGTAAAATTCTATGACAAATAATTATGAGGGATAAAATAAATATCATACAAAGTTTTATATAATTATATTTACTAAAAATTCCCAAGAAAAATAAAATCAAAGAGATGGCAATACAAAAAAATATTTTTCATATACTTCACCCCCATACAAGCGAGCTTATGCGAAGCAAGAATGTCTATTATTATTATTTACTATGGCGCTCCCGGACGTCTTATAAATGATTATTTAAGAAAGTTACTCTAATATCACAAACATTACATTACTATTTCGGTACGTTAACTATCTTTGGCTAACAAAAATCAGAAATTGCATAACAAATAATTAATTTACTTGATATGAAAACTAATGCCTAAATAAATAAATTTTTAAAATAAACGAAAAACAAAACAACAAATTCTTCTTGAATCTTAGGAAATCAGACAAAAGCAACCATCCATATAAACTGAAACAGAAAAAAATTAAATGCAGTAACTTCAAATAATTTTGTTTGTCTTTTAGACATTGCAGCAGCCCTCATACTATCATTATAATACTTTCTTATTATTAATAGTAGACAAGTTTCAACTAAATGAGAAAAGACATCTGTTTTATGTTCTTTATATGTAAACCAGAGACGGCTTGTGGCCTAGTCTGTGAGGAAGCTGGCTCATCCTATATACTTTATACAAATATATATTTCTATTAGAATACAATGAAATATTTCTGCTTTTTGAATTCTTATAGACATATATTTGTATATAGGGTGTGCCTTTTAAAAGTAGTCTCCTCATAGACTAGGCCACGAGTCGCCTCTGATGTAAACCATTTAAAATCAACATGGTCTGGCAAAAAAGTTTAATTATTTGAATTATGTTGTCAATATGACCCAAAAGTTGTGAAACTATTTCAAGAATTTTTGAAAGAAATTCAATAACATTTCTTTGTACATAAATAAAACGTCTTTTATCAAAATTTTCTTTAAAATAAGTAAAAGTATCGATGGTCTTCTAACATGTCTGTAAATTAACTTTACACTCTTTGCAGTCAAAACTATTAAGTTTCTTAATAAACCCTGCAACATAACTAGTGGCCTGACTCAAATTCTGCTTTATTTATTAATTTTGTATATATTATTAAAATGAACTTTATCCACACAGGACTCTGTTTGGAGGTGTGATAACAATATTACTAAGTACTACTATCTTTGGTGTATCTGGTTTTGAGGATACTAAAGCAAGGTAAAGCAAATCTTTTAGCAGTCTTGAACGATTTGTGTTTGTAAACAATTTTGTATCAAAATATGATTTTCACATAATGTATAATGATTGGGGTTGTAAGTGAAATGTTTAAAATACGACACCATTCCGTTCTTTGATCAATATCAGAAGGAAATTTAAAAATGTTTGTTCTTAAAATTTACGTTTGGAATGGGCCTTATAAAATGTACTATAACAATTAGAAATTATGCGTTTATAATGAATTCTGCCTGGTAAAGACATGTTAAAGCATCAAAATACCTTTACTTGATTTTAAATAATCCTAAATAACATATCTAAAAAAATAAAAGTAGTTCCACTCACATGTTTTCTTCGACAACCAAATCATAACATAACCACACATTTGTTTGATTTTGATGTTATTTGTTGACAGCGCGCGCGGGGCCCGCTATAGCGGGCAGCCAGCAGTCATGCAGCGGACAGAAAGCCATCTTCACATAGTACAAATAACTAAGTGAAGGTATGTTTTTTTTAGTTTGTTGTAATATATGAATTAAAATTTTTGAAACAACACTTTTTGTGTGTTACTGAACGAGATGTTATTAAATTAATCAATGTGCTTTACATTTTAATACAATTTTGCTATTGTAAAACGGACTTCAGAGCACCCAAGCGCGGAGGAGTATGCGCAGAAACGTGTTTACGTATTGTGCATATGATATAAACCCCCGTGTGGCTTAGCCCACAAAGCACATAGAGGTTCCACGTGAATGACCAAGGTCAAAACCGACAACTGACATTTTTTATGCCATTTGCTCCAAACTCTAGATGGGGCTACTGGTGAAATTATGATTTCTTACTCCATTTTTAAGCCTTATGGGAGAAAAACTTAACCAAAGACTCCAAAGATGTGACGTGTATTTATTTATGTTCTTGGTTAGTTTCATTTTTCCGTCCGATTTTAGTGATTTTTTGTTGGCTTTGGCTTTTGGTTTCTGTTTATAGTTTCGTCTTAGTTATTTGCAAAATTGTGATGTTTCGCTTTTTTATTTCCTACTGTGTTTTGCAATAATTTTGGTGCTACGTTGAAAACTTCGAGAAAAACTTCATTGATTCACCATATATTCACCATGCATCTGCATCATAAAAAGACAAACGGGGACAACAACTAATTGATAATCAATTTATCACTGGACTAGATTCCGAAATCATTTTTCACATAAGAGAGTAATACCACCATCTGTATTTGGAAGGAAAATACCTATTTATCATTGAATGAATAGTTAAAAAGATTCACCTTTTAATACAATACCTATATTACATTTGTCCTCAGTTAAAAGACATTTATAAAATATATAACTTTAGTGTTAATAAAATGTAATATCCTAGTCTCTACTTCACATTTATATTATTGATAGGTATTTTAAAGATTTGAGATTATATATCTATTTGCTCCAAGTAAGTATTCGTTAAATATGTATTATTATTTGTATTTATTTTTATCTAATAATATTTAAGTTATTAATAAACATATTTTAAGAATGTTCTATTTTATTATTTATAGATATATCTTATATTTATTTAATAAAAATATGCAGAACCAACTCTCCACATTAGACCCCTTATAACAAATTAATTCTTCAAATTTGGTATAATCGACCTAAATTATTTTGTAAAATAAAAGTTTCGAACTTACTAGTTCCATACTTTATTTTATAAAATAATTTATGTGGAAATCATTTAAAATTTAATTTAAAACTACTACCTACTCCTAAAAATTACAATTTGAATTTACCGCCATCTGTCAATTGTCATTTTAGTTCCAGCTCCAAACACAAGGTGGCGCTAATTTGGTTTAAAAGTTTAACCCCAGTATATATACCAATCAGTATTGGCCATAGAAAAATAAAAGGGTATTGGCACTCTGAGACGGCACGTTTGATCTTTAAAAGTAGAAATTTTAGTTGACACTTGACGTTTTCGGGATATGAAAAGTTTTCTTTACACGGACTTGGTATACCTGGTTAGTTGAATTTTTGTTCTGCTGCTTTTCAAATTAGTGTGTATGAGGGAGATGTGAGATACCTTTATAGACAACGGTTGAAGAACTTAATTATTTTGAAGAAAATAGATTAGATATCAGGGCAGTCTTCGCAAATGTAAGAAGGACAGAACCGTTTAAAATTTTTTTATATACGTGAAATATTACTTTTTGGTGAAAAGTTTAATTACTTTTAGTTCAAAATATAACGTTAGTTTGTCAAGGGAAATATATAACACACAAGGTTTTAGAGTAACAAAATAGAGGTATTGCTTTATTTCTTAAGAATTACTCTAATCTAAAACTTTTCTAGTATATTGTAAACATTTATTCTATACGTTATTTAGGTACTGCAAAATCTATAGGAAAGTATGTAGTTTTAAATTTAAAAATTTGTAAGGGAGACATATTTAGTGTAGTTTTTTTACAAATATATACTCAGTGACTTGCTTTTGTGAATGAGTTCAAGTATGGCAGACTAAAATCGTTATTTTTTATTATGAATTAATTTGAATTTATTTTAAAATGGGAACTATATGTATATGGTTTTCGTAGTTTTTACACTTGTGATAAGAATATCAAAGTTATGTATATTGGCCATAAACTACACACAGCAAATTCATAGACACAATACATATTACTATTTGA